GTTGGGGATCAAGGGGAGCCCTGTTCAAAAAAAAAAAAAAAAAAAAAAAAAAAAAAATCAAGGGCCTTGGAGTCTGGAGAGATGGCTCAGCAGTTAAGCACACTGACTGCTCTTGCAGAGGATCCAGGTTCAGTTCCCAATACCTATATGGTGGCTAACAACCATCCATGTAACTCTAGTTCTAGGGGATCCAATGCCCTCTTCTGACCTCCATGGGTATTGCGTGACACAGGTGCACTTACATAATTCAGGCAATCAATACAATCACCCCTCCAAAAATTTTTTTTTTAAATCAAGGGCCTGAAGAGATAGACGGCTTAGCAGTTAAGAGCACTTGTTGCTCTTACAGAGGACCCTAGTTCAGTTCCTAACACTCATTTGGCAGTCACAACCTCCTGTAACTTCAGTTCCAGGGACTCCAAGGCCGCCTTCTGGCCACCAGACTCCTGTACTCATGTGGTACACACACATACACTCAGGCACATATGCATATGAATACAAGTTTTAAAGTCTTTTTTTTAGGTCAGAGAGCAGAAGCAGGAGGATCATTATGAGTATGAAGCCAGCTAGAGCTATGTAATGAAACTTGTCTCAAAAAAACCAAAACCAAAGAAATTCAAACATGCACAATTCAAACATGCTTAGGATGTGGCTCAGTGGTAGAGCACTTGCTTAAAATGCACATGTGACCCTAGATTCCATCTCCACAAAGGAATAGAAAAATTAGTGTAATGTACCCTCATGTACCCACTGTCAACCACAAGGATCAGCCCATCTTAATGCTGCACGGAAGAAAAATGCATTTCACCTAGTGTTTGCCAAACCCACTTAACCACAACACCGCTTTCCACTACCACCCAAAAACTTCACCTTTTTTTGCTTGTTAATGTTTATTGATGGGCTGTGCTCAGCCTAAAGAAGCAGACAAGGACCACCATAGGCTCCCTGCTTCTGGGAGCTCCCAGCCTGAGGGAGATAGCAAAGAGGAGGAACTCGGTTTGTACTGGTAGGCAGGCAAGGAGGGAGGACAGTTGGCATGCCTATGGGCTACCGGCAGGGGAAGGAACAACCACTAAACCACATGGACTAAGCCACCTAGCTGACCCAAGAGAGGAAGAGAGACAGGCAGGGAGGGCCAGGTGAGAACAGCAAACTGCAGTTAGTCATCAGGCATCAGTGGGTACGTGTGACGCTTAGAGTCCCGGAAGCTGTTAGAGTGTGAGAGCCATAGATTGGGGGAGTTAGACAGCAAGAGTCAGAGCTAGACTGTCAAAAGCTGCTGAGCCTTGCTTCTCTGCCCCATTTCTGAAGGCTTCTGAGTTCAGTGCTTTTTCTTTTTGACTCAGTGAGGTTGGGTGAGTGTAAGGAGCTGGGAGGGATGTGCTGAGCTCTAGGAGGTGGGCGTGTCAGGTCCACCCAGAGCAGGTCCTACCAGCCCAGCCCAGCCCAGCCCAACCCAGAGCGGCAGCGGAAGGAGGTTTGGGGAAGCGGCAGAGCGACGGAGCTCAGGTATGGGGGTGTGACAGGTGGGGTTGAACCATCCAGGGGTCCCAAGGCATAGAAGTAGGGGACATGGGTGGGGATGGAGAATGAGGGTGGGCCCTGGGAAACCTTTCTGAATAGAGTGGAAAGCCAAAGAGGGATGCCCCACGTGATAGATCTTCTCTGGGGGAGACTGATGAGGCAGCCAACAGGTCTGACACCCCACTGTCCCACTATGGGCCATCATTTGGGTCCTCCTCTGAATCTTTAGTCCCCTTCCTCTTATGTTGAACCTGAGCTTCCCAAGGAAGGCCCTCTGAGGTCTGTTCCCCTCACACCCACTCATCCCCTAGGGCCAGGTCCTGACCTGGAAGACACTGAGCTGATCTGATTAAAGTCTGATAATAGCTTACCTGGATGTGTTCTTAGTACTATCTTTCCCAGGTTACCAAGGTATATTTTATTTAGTTATCTGGTGCTAGAGATGGAATGCACTATAAGCTAAGCACTTGCTTTAACACTGAGCTACATCCCAAGTGTTCCCTTTTTGAGACAGGTCCCTTATAGGCCAGGCTGGCCTCAAAAATCTCTGTGTAAGGGCTGGAGAGATGAGTGAACAGTTAAGAGCACTTGCTGTTCTTCCAGAGGACCCGAGTTCAGTTCCTAGTACCTATTTTGTCGTAGCTAACAACTGCCTGTAACTTCAGCTCCAGGAGATCAGACACCCTCTTTGGGCATTTGCACACAAGTGTACATACACACATACACAAACACATAAAATAATAAATCTTTTTAAAAAAGATTGAGAGTTGGGTAGTAGTACAGGCCTATAATCCCAGCTACTCAGGAAGCTGATGCAAGGAGGTTCGAAAGTTGTAGGTCAGCCTAGAACTTTCAGTCAAGACCCTATCTCAGAAAGTTTAAAAAACAAAAAACATGTGGCTGAGGATGACCTTGAACTCCTGATGCTCTACCTCTGGCTGGGACCAGGTTAATACAAGTAATGAAGGTGAACCCAGAGCTTTGTGCATATAAGGCAAGCACTCTACTAACTAAGCTCCATCCCCAGCTCCCTGCATCTCTTGGGGAGGGGAATCTCACTGTTTTCCAAGCTGGTCTTGAGCTCCTAACCTCAAGTGATCCTGTGCCTCAGCCTCCCTGGTATCTGGAACTACACGTGTGCCACCATGCCCAGCTCTATTTCTTTTTGCAGCACTGGAGGTAGAAAACGGGTTTGTGAATGCTGAGCTACACCCCCAGCCTTCCATGGTGTATTTTAATGGGGGCTTGAGGAAAGCATTGCTCCAACCTGCAAAGCATATCTATAATAGAAGGATGTTGGGCCAGCTGAGCTATAGGTCCCCATGGGTCTGACCTACAGACTATGGCTCATGAGTGGCACGAAAGAGAGGAAACCAGTTAGTGAGCACAGGTGGGAACCTGTGGAAGGCTATCTGGGGACTTTTATCTTACTAGTGTGGGCTGCTGCCTGCCTACTGCCTATGTGTATGGGGGCCTCTGTGACAAGAAAGGGACTTTCACAAACTTGTCCCTCTGAACTCTTCCCTTATGGTAAGCTGAAGTGTAGCCCTGGGGGAAATGGAGGCAAGAAACGTGAAAGCGAGCATCACACCACCCACATCCTGACCACCCAGAGACACTAGACCCCAGCTCCACTGACATAGAGACCTTTTATGTCCAGGGGCATTAAAAAAAGCAAGAAGGAGACAACAGAAAAGGGGAGATCTGGGGTTGGAGAGTTGGCTCAGCAGTTAAGAGCACTGACTGCTCTTGCAGAGGACCCAGGTTCAGTTCCCAGCACTCACATGGCAGCTAACAACCATCTATGGTTCCAGTTCCATGGGGTCCTACTCCTTCTGACTGTCTCAGGCACTGCACGACATGGGTACACTAACACACATGCAGGCAATACACTCATACACATAAAATAAAATAAAATATCCTTTTAAAAAGAAAAGGGCGCTGGGCGTGGTGACGCACGCCTTTATTCCCAGCACTCAGGAGGCAGAGGCAGGAGGATCTCTGTGAGTTCAAGGCCAGCCTGGTCTATATAGTGAGTCCCAGGACAGCTGGGGCTACAGGGAGACCCTGTCTCAAAAAGACCAAAAAAAAAAAAAAAAAAAAAAGAAAGAAAGAAAAGAAAAGGGGAGATCTAAGCGGGCTAGAGGTGTAGCTGAGAGGTAGGGTGCTTGGCCGGTGAGCACAGGCCCTGAGTTCAACCCCAGCATCAAAAACAAAAACACAAAGGGTGTGGGCCTCTGAGGCCAGTGGTACACTAGAAGTTCAGAGTGAGGTCACCCAGCCTAGGAGGCTCCAGAAGATTATTCAGAAGAGGCAGGACCTGTCCAGCTTGAAGCATGGGTAAGATGTACACAGGGCACAGACCAGCACCCAGCTGAGCCCATAGCAATGACTTTTCTTGGTTGGGACTTTATTTCCTGCTTTTCCAGCTCTTGAAGATAGGGTGGAGGGTGAGGTGGCAATCTGTCATCCATGCATCAGGAAAACTAATTCCTGAGCTCTAGGCTGCCTTTGCCTTTGACCTTTTTCCAGAGAAGTGTTGGGAAGGATGAGTATATTCCCAGCACTCAGGAGTTTGAGGCAGGAGAGTTGTCATGAATTTCAAGTCAGGAAGAGAAATATAGTGAGACCCTCTCTGGGGGAGGTAGTAAAAAAGAACGAAGGAAAAAGAAGGGAAGAAGGAAGAGGAAGAAAAGGGGGAGGAAGTAAGGGAGGTGGAGGGAGAAAAGAAGGAAAGGAAGGGAGGGAGGAAGGGAAGGAGGGAAAGAAAGAGGGAGGGAGAAAGGACAGAAGGGAAGGGTAGGGAAAAGAAGGAAAGCGGGAGGGAGGAAGGGAAGAAGGAGTAAGGGAAGGAAGGGAAGGAGGGGGAAGAAGGAAAAGATGGATGGATAGATGTCGGGAAGGAAATCATCATACCCAGGGAGGAAGACTATAAGGCTGAGGATGATATTGGAAGGACAGGGAGACGGGAGGAGCCCAGTGATAAGACCCGATATCCTGGTCTGTACCTAAGGGACACCTATCTTTGGCTCCTGGAACAAAGGAGGCCTCCTCTCTAATCCTGGTGGTCCTAGACTGTCTCCGTCTTCACACCACAGACTTTCCCATCTTCTCCGGGAAAAACTGATTGGCAGGACCAATTTGTGCCCCCAGGAAGCTCTGGAACAGATATTTTTTTTTCTCAGTGAGACAGGGTTTCTTGTCTGGCCTGGACCTTGCTGTGTAGACCAGGCTTTGAACTTGTGGTGATTCTCCTGCCTTCTGCCTCCTGAGTGCTGGGATCCCAGGTGCATACAAGTATATTTGAATCTGGGACAGAGCTTTTCACATGGGTCTGAGACAGAGTTCTCAGCGCAGATGAGGACTATTGGGGGAACTTAAATACATGGAAATGAAGGCATCCTTATACCTAAGCATGTCTGGGGCAAAGATGCACCCACCCTACCCACCCAACATCACCCGAACACAGATGAGCAGAGGAAGTTAGCTAACTAACTTGCAGTTTGTACATTTTACAAAGCGATATGTCCTGTGTTGAGGTTGAGAGACTGGTAAAGAGAATTTAAATTAAGGTTGGGGCTGTCCCAGAACTAATCATAGGGGGAAAGGGGAGATCTGAATTCTGGTCTAGTGGAGAAGGCAGAAAGATATGAATTTGGGAATATGAGGAGGCAAAAAGGGGTGGTGGTGCATATCTTTAATCTCAGCATTTGGGAAGCAGAAACAGGTGGATCTCTGTGAGTTCAAGGCCAGCGTGGTCTACATAGTTCTAGGCCAGCCAGGACTACATAGTGAGACCCTGTCTCAAAAAACAAAAACAAAAAAAGAAGAGGCAAAAAGCAGGGCATTTGGGGCGTGTAGGGGAGGGGCAAGCAAGAAGCGCACAGACAGTGGTGGGCCGAACTGGAAATTGAAGAAGTATTACTGTCCTAGCCCCTGTCCGCAGCTAAATGTTGGCCTCATGCTGGGGTGGGTGGCTCTCAAGGGCAGGGCATGTGGAAAAGAGTGGGGGACCTATCATGAGCTAGCCTCCTGCCCATTTCACTCCTGGTTCTTACTTCCTGCCTGTGGCAGAAAATAGCCCTGCCCCTCTCGCTTATCTCAGCTGAAAGCAGTACCCAGCCCAGCTCAGAGGGCAGTGGGACAGGTTCCAGAGGTCCTGAGGAGGTAAGGAACTTGGGCCCCAGATTTGCACATGGGAGTCGAAAGACACCTTGAGCCCATACGCTGCTCTAGCGTGAGCATTGGTAGGGATGGGGGGTGGGGGTGGAATGTGCGTGCCTCTGATGTCTCTCTGTAGATACATGGTGGTTTCTTTGCCCCTCCATGCCTGTGGGTGTTGAGGTCTATTGGCACGCATCTGCATGAGCATGTGCTTATGAAGGTGGCTGGTTCTATGTGCATATATGTAAAAGATTTTCCTTAAGGCAGTGGCTGAGCTATCGTTCCTCTGGCCCATGTGTTTCTGCTTGTATGTTACAGGGTGTGCACAGGCACTGATTTGTATACTAGTGTGTGCATGCCTCTGTGTGTCTGTGCATGAAAACGTGTTGTGGTATGCTCATGTGACATCAGCAACTGTCCATGTTACTGAGCCCATGTGGGCCTCCATGGCCCTCCTCCCTGCTGGTGAAATGAAACCCCACTGTTCCTTCTTTTTGGAGGCAGTTGCTGTTTGATTTTTTTTTTTTTTTTCATCTCTCCTCACAACCTGATCTCTTCCTCAAGGCATGACTGGAGAGAGGGTCTGTGCGGCCCCTCCCCCACATCTACATCCCTCCTTCCATTTCCTGTTTGCCTTCTCTTTGGCAGTTTTTCCCATCTTTGCCATCTGGCCTGGCATTGTGCCCATATAGTTCCACACAGAAGCCCAGGACTCAGGGAAGCAGGGGAACGGGGTGAGGAGCACGCAGGGGTCTGGTGGCTTGGTCTTTCTGTGGGGCTCTGTCAGAAAGAGGGAGCTTTTTCTCTGCTGGAAAGAAACCCAAGAACTTTTCTTCTTTGGAATAGGCTTATGAGATCATCGTTATTTCCTTTACTAAAGGATTCTTCAATTCACCTTTGAGTAGCTGCGGCTCAAGGAATCCATTTTGGTCTGCTCTGCTTAAACATAACTCTTTGAATAGAAAGACTTGGAATTCTTGGGAAAGAATCCACTCCTTCACCCACTCAGCATGTACAGTGTACTTCCTAATTGCAAGGAGTTACTGATTCTGCAAGTGATGGTTAAGAATGATAATGTGGGGGGCTGGAGAGATGGCTCAGCAACTAAGCGCACTGGCTGCTCTTGCTGAGGACCCAGGTTCAATTCCCAGCATCCACATATCAGGAAGGATCTGTAACTCCAGTTCCAGGGGATCCAACACCCTCTTCTGGCCTTCATGGGCATTACATGTACATGGTACATTTAATACATGCAGGCAAAACACTCATACACACAAATAAGTAAATAAATAAAATTTTAGAAAAATAATGATGAGGTGTTACTGAAATTATAAACCACTACTGAAATTTTAATGCAAGAAGTTTCCAAAGAGGCTTGTTTAGAGACGTGGTGTCAGTTCAAACTTGGCATGGTAGTGCACACCTTTTTTTTTTGGTCTTTTTGAGACAGGGTCTCCCTGTAGCCCCAGCTGTTCTGGAACTCACTATGTGGACCAGGCTGGCCTTGAACTCACAGAGATCTGCCTGCCTCTGCCTCCCGAGTGCTGAGATTAAAGGCGTGTGCCACCATGCCTGGCTTGTTTTTTTGGACTAGTGCACACCTTTAATACCAGTGCTCAGGAGGCCAAGGCAGGCAGATCTCTGTGGGTTCAAGGCCAGCTTGGTCTGCATAGCAAGTTCCAGGCCAGCCAGGGATACATAGTGAGGCCCTATCTCAAAAACAAACACACAAAAAAAGAGACTTGGTGTCTTGTGAATGAGTACTGTAAATGGACCAGAATCAGGAGCATAGTGGTTAGATGGTCATGGTTACAACAGGTGGGCTAACATGTTGAATGGGAACTAGATTTCCTTCCAAGTAGCCAAAGAGAATGATCTAGAGGATCTACCAAATACAGAGATGGAGGAGTATATCTGTATAGTCCTCACCCCAGGACCTTGCCATCTAGTTGGGGAAAGAGACACAAAACAGGTAATGGGTTGAAAGCAGCAACCTAAGTGCTTAAGTGCTTTTTTTCTTATTCTTTTGAGACCAGGGCTCCCTTTGTGGCTTATGCTGGTCCACACTGTTGGGCTCAAGCCATGCTCCTGCCTCAGCCTCCTGAGTAACTGGGACTACAGGAATGCATCACTGCACCTTGCTTAAGTGCTTGAGTACTTAGGAGAAAATTGTAGAGGCATATTTGTGCGTGTGAAAGAGAGATGAATTTGTGCTACCAATGTTCTAAGAGGATTAAGAAGGAAGTGGGTTATTAAAATGCATTTCAATTGGACAAATGAGGAAATGAAATGTTACCCATGGGTATACATCTCATATAGGCAATTATAAAAGACCAGGTGCTCTGGCCAGCACCCATCCATATACCCTCCTATTCAGTCTTGTTGGGAGCAGCTCAGCACAGGCTTGGACTTTGGAGTAGGGCGGTCCTAAGTCTGAGTCCCACCTTTACTTCTCAATGGCCAGCCAATGGGCTTCTGTTTCCTTTCCTATAACAATAAACACCTACCTCAAAGGACTGCTGGATGTATATATATATATATA